CTCCCCAAAAATTCTCCCCTCATTGGCTGGGAGGCAAGCAGCTTGAATGCTGGGAGGCTGCTTGCTTCCAAATGCTGGCTCACTTCCGACTCACTTCCTGAGTTGGATCAAAAATGGTGAGGGAAGTTGCGAAAAGGCAAAGGGACTTCCTGTTTTTAAAATAATTTCAAAATTGATTCAAAAAGGTAACTTTTCTGACTTTATTCCAAATTACGAGTATTCCGACAATACCTAGCCATGCCTAGTTGTTATGGCTTTAAAAGGACTGGAACAGCCGAAACAGCCAGAGCCCGTTTTGAGAAACCCTGCACAACCCTATTGATCATATGAAGAAAACACTGGTGGTTAATGCATATGTTAAAATGTTTCAGTTTGTGTGTTGAAAATTGTTCTTTTACCAATTGTATTCGTTTGCCCTCCGGTGGTTAAAAGGGAGAATGCACACAATTTATGTACGATGGCCTTTCCAGTGTGTGGTTCCTGTTTCTGTACTGCTCCTGAGTCGTAAAAGTTTAGAAATTTGATAATTCTATTTGTGTATTGTCGAAGGCTTTCATGGCCGGAATCACTGGGTTGTTGTAGGTTTTTTCGGGCTATATGGCCATGGTCTAGAGGCATTTTCTCCTGACGTTTTGCCTGCATCTATGGAAAGCATCCTCAGAGGTAGTGAGGTCTGTTGGAACTAGGAAAATGGGTTTATATATGGAATGACCAGGGTGGGACAAAGGACTTTTGTCTGCTGGAGCTAGGTATGAATGTTTCAACTGACCACTTTGATTAGCATTAAATGGCTTGGAAGTGCCTGGGGGGAATCTTTTGTTGAGATTTGATTTGATGTGCCTGATTCTTTAATCTCTGTTGTTTTGCTGTTGTAATTCTATTTGTTTTCTCAAGTTTCTCAAATTTTTCAGTTCCATTCTCTTCCTACACAATATGTTCAGTATTTCCACTACTATTAATTAAGGTACTGGGAGTTTAGAAACCCATGCCAAAGCTATCCTGACTACTGATGCAATGCAGATATGCTCAGTGTCCTATAGCTTTGTCCTGTTGTCCTTGCTGCAGATTCTCTGCCAGAACATCAAGAATGAAATAGTCACCAAGGAGAAGAATAATGTGATTTTGTAGTTTGGGGGGAATTCATACCATATAAAATAACAGAGGACTAGTCACCTTGAAATTCCAAAGTCTATATCACAGTAATATCTTCATTAATATCCCCAAGTAGCCAATAATAAACATAATTTGAAAGTCTGCCAGCCTTTCATCTGAAACAGGGATGGGCATAGTGCAGCCCCTGGATCTTCTAACTTGCTTATTGGAAAGCTACTGTGGCTTAGGCTGTGTCTTAAAGGAGTTCCAGTTTGACCTCAAACTTCTAAACTCTGCCAGACTGGAGATCAGTAGGGAAAAAAGGACTGGCCTCCAGGCTGAAATGACTTCTTTTTATGTATTTATTTATCTATTCATTTATTTACCATATTGATATACCGCCTCTCTCAGCCCAAAGGTGACTTGAGGCAGTTTACAATTGGCAATCAATGTCACCAACTCATAAAATATAATTTAAAACATTAACATATAATATAGACTATCTAAAAGCAGTAGAAGGAAACAAAAACCATAAAACACAAGTCTTCGGTGTCTCATTACTAAAGTCATTTTTCCGTCGCATCATCCAATTGTTCCGTAGATCTAAATTAGTCTGTTACACTGCATTTGCAAATGCATGCTCAAAAAGCCAGGTTTTAACTTTATTTATTTATTTATTTAAAAGTTTTATATACCGACCTTCTCACCTCTCTTGAGGGACTCAGACCGGTTTCMAACTGTAAAATACATACAATCAGTAAACATCCTACTTCCTATTGCAATAAAACATTAAAACATCAAAACAGCAAAACAGCAATTACATTCAATAAATACAATGGTCAGTCGTCCCACTAAATTTAATGTTCATCATCCTCCATCCAATCTCCGGGTGTTGGCTCACTCATCGAATGCCTGTCTCCATAGCCACRTCTTCACCTGCTTCCTGAAWTTCAGGATAGAAGGGGCGGTTCTGATCTCCTGTGGGAGAGAGTTCCAGAGTCGAGGGGCCACYACCAAGAAGGCCCTGTCCCTTGATATGTTAGGAGGGAGGGTGCCGATCTGACATCTCTAGGCAGGGCGTTCCATAGCCGAGGGGCCACCGCTGAGAAGGCCCTGTCTCTCGTTCCCGCCAATCTCATCTGCGAAGGAGGTGGGACCGAGAGCAGGGCCTCCTCAGATGATCTTAAGTTCCTAGCTGGTTCATAGGGAAAGATACATTCGGACAGGTAAGCTGGGCCAGAACCATTTAGGGCTTTAAAGGCTAAAGCCAGCACTTTGAATTGTGCCCAGTTGCAAACTGGCAGCCAGTGGAGTTGGCACAACAGAGGAGTTCTGTGCTCCCTGAGTGCCGCTCCTGTTAGTAACCTGGCCACCCCCCATTGAACCATTTGGAGCTTCTGAACAGAATTCAAAGGCAGCCCCACGTAGAGCATGTTGCAGTAGTCTATACAGGATGTAACCAGAGCGTGGACTACAGTTTAGTCTTTTGTTGTTGTAAAGAGGGCAAAGCTTTCTTTATCCATGGTTTTCACCAATATTTCATCCAAAGACTAACCCATTTTTAAGCAAAGTTGACACTTGGTCATGACATCATCCACCTATCATTCTGCTGCATCTTTTCAATCCACTTGTTTATGACATCGCCCATCTTTGCTCAATGAAGAAACCTTAAGCTTGAAAGATTCCACGGGACGATTCCAGCCTTTTCTGTCAGCTGAATACCACAAAACGGACCCTCAAGTGCAAGTAGGTGTGATGCGGACAGAGCCTATTATGCACATTTGAAAGGTCACAGGTTCAATCCCTGGTTTTCTAAGTAAGGCCAGTCAGTGGAGACAATATTGAGATGAAGCAACATTTGGATTCAGTGTAAGTCATGTTGTTATGATCCGGATTCCTCACCAAATGTTCAAAAACCAGCCCGTCATAGGATCTCCCCTGCCAAGATCTATTTGATAAGGACTTCTTAGACCAGAGATTCTCAACCTGTGGGTCCTCAGATGTTTTGGCCTTCATCTCCCAGAAATCCTAACAGCTGATAAACTGGCCGGGATTTCTGGGAGTTGTAGGCCAAAATACATGGGGACACACAGGTTGGGAACCACTGTCTTACACACACTCTAATTCTGGAGCGAGAGGGAAAATATGTGGAAGGGTATGAAGAGAGGTTTTGTACTCCTGGTATATTTATTTATTTAAGTTTTCTACCCTACCCCCTGACCACTGCAAATGTGTCCAAAGCCTTGGAGTAAAACCCGTAGTAGCTGGACATCTTACAGATAGATAAAGGGCCTCACCACACTAGAGAATGAATCCACTTTACATCCAGGTTCTGCCTTTAACAGCCTCACTTTTTTTTTATTTACGACATTTATATGCCGCCCTTCTCACCCTGAAGGGGACTCAGAGCAGTTTACAAGTATATATACATACAATATATTATATTATTAACATAGTACAATATCAATATTAAATATTACTATATTGTACTATACCATTATATTGTAATATTATTAGTAATATTACATGTAATATAAATATATAATTGTATCATATTATTATTAGTATTATATTGCATTACATTATAATATAAATATTATATGTATATACAATATATTATATTATATTACATTATGTTATATTATTAGAATATCATGGGAGACAAGATGGAACTGTCCCCTGGCCCCCTCTCTCTTCACTCTGGCCCAGAGCAACAGCTAGTGCCGGGAGGAGGGGTCCCCAACTGATGACATATGTAGGAGACAAGATGGAACTGTCCCCTGGCCCCCTCTCTCTTCACTCTGGCCCAGAGCAGCAGTTGGTGCTGGGGGAGGGGTCCCCAACTGATGACATATGCAGGAGACAAGATGGAACTGTCCCCTGGCCCCTCTCTCTTCACTCTGGCCTAGAGTGGCAGTTGGTGCTGGGGGAGGGGTCCCCAACTGATGACATATGCAGGAGACAAGATGGAACTGTCCCCTGCCCCCCTCTCTTCACTCTGGCCCAGAGCGGCAGTTGGTGCTGGGGGAGGGGTCCCCAACTGATGACATATGCAGGAGACAAGATGGAACTGTTCCCTGGCCCCCTCTCTCTTCACTCTGGCCCAGAGTGGCAGTTGGTGCTGGGGGGAGGGGTCCCCAACTGATGACATATGCAGGAGACAAGATGGAACTGTCCCCTGGCCCCCCTCTCTTCACTCTGGCCCAGATCGGCAGTTGGTGCTGGGGGAGGGGTCTCCACCTGATGACATATGCAGGAGACAAGATGGAACTGTCCCCTGGCCCCCTCTCTCTTCACTCTGGCCCAGAGCAGCGGTTGGTGCTGGGGGAGGGGTCCCCAACTGATGACATATGCAGGAGACAAGATGGAACTGTCTTCCTGGCCCCCTCTCTCTTCACTCTGGCCCAGAGCGCAGTTGGTGCTGGGGGAGGGGTCCCCAACTGATGACATGTGCAGGAGACAAGATGGAACTGTCCCCTGCCCCCCTTCTCTCTTCACTCTGGCCCAGAACAGCAGTTGGTGCTGGGGGAGGGGTCCCCAACTGATGACATATGCAGGAGACAAGATGGAACTATCCCCTGGCCCCCTCTCTCTTCACTCTGGCCCAGAGCGGCAGTGGTGCTGGGGGGAGGGGTCCCCAACTGATGACATATGCAGGAGACAAGATGGAACTGTCCCTGGGCCCCCTCTCTTTTCACTCTGGCCCAGAGCGACAGCTGGTGCTGGGGGGAGGGGTCCCCAACTGATGACATATGCAGGAGATAAGATGGAACTGTGTAAGACCATAACAAGATGACTGACACTAAACTACAAACCCCAGAATTCTGCAAGAGGCAGAAATCAGATTGAAAGTGGATTCATTCTCTAGTGCAATGAAGTAGAAAGAAAAAAAACCGACACAAGAGAGATCAGTTAGAAAAAAACCCATATTTATTGATTGATCAAATTTGGCTCCATGCGTTTATGAGACACAGAGAAGTGAATGGTACAAGCGAGAAGCAGCTGTGGAGAGCCCCCCTGCCCTCCACAGGGAAGCAGAAAGTATGCCACAGAAGTAACTCCACCCCTGTTAATTCTCATTCCCAGGCCAGCCCTAGTCTTGGATCCGGGGATGGCTGAACCCCTTGCTCATCCACCCTGTATATCATTGGTATTTCTGGTTTTTAAAAGCCAAGGGCCAATGGAGCTCTTTCTCCTTGTGATTGTGATGGTCATTGGACTTTGCAGCAAAGCATGAGGCAGAGAAAGCAAAGCAGCAAGCGCAATGGAAGGTTATTGCGCCCTACAGCAAGGGGCGTTTTCTTTTCCTGTGGATGTTCTCTAGAGAGGGTAGCGACGGCAGCAGCAGGCAGCATTATTGCAATTGTAGGGGCCTTTGCGGGAGGTGGGTCATAGGAACCAGCCCCCCAGCAGAGTGGGAGCCAGCTGGGAAACTGACTGGCAGAAAAGACCGCCACGCTACTAGATCACCAGAGCAGCGCCCCAGCCCTGCCCAGGTGCTTGCTCCCATCATGCAATGGAAGCGCAAGAGCTAACTGGTTAAAAAATTGCCCCTCCCTTGTTGAGGATAGAACGGAGAGCCCCCTCCCCCTCCCGGGCTGTCAGTGCCAAGGTGCCAAGGTCTCAGGACAAATGTTCCTGGGCGCAGTTCATCCCCCAGCCAGTCGGGAGTAGCACATCTTGGAGACGGCATCTATGCGCTGCCAGCTGGAGCTGGAAGAGAACAGTGAAGAGAAAGAAAGCAGTGAACAATGTGAGGAACAGAAAGAATGCCATAGTGATTAAGACGGAGAGAGATGGTTCCCAATATCTAGGAGCCCTGGCAAACAACATCTCCCTGCGGGCTTCCTAGCTGATACAGGAAAAGTGTTCTCAGTTGCCATGGCACCACCATAGAGTCCTCAGAATCTCTTGCAACGTCAGCAAGTGCCATGGTAACACAAGGTGGGTGGGAATGTACCTCAGGTGTGGGAACTTCAGCCACCCACTCATACATTTCCTCGCAATGAGATGGTGTAGGACTGACAGACAGATATGAACATACACACGTGCGGGACACAAGCCCTGCCCAACAGAAAGAACTGAAGTCTTTCCTGGGCTATGGGATAAAATGCAATGGTTAAAATGAATCTTTAGGACACTTTTTGGTCAGAAAGTCAACAGGGCCAACCCAAGATTGCCTCTGACAAAAAGAAGAGACAGTATTCCCTCCTCCACCCAATTCACGGGCAAAAACTATTAGGCTGTAGTTGTATCTTACTCAACATTGGAGATGAAATATATACAACAGCCAGCTGTCTGCTGTGGACTCATCTTGTGGTGTTTCTAATAATAATAATAATAATAATAATAATAATAATAATAATAATAATAATAACAACAATAACAACAACAACAACAACAACATTATTTCTATTCTACTCTATATCCCCAAAGGGACTCAGGGCAGATTCCAAACATAAAAGGCAAACATTCAATCTCCGAATACAACAATATATCCATACTAACATAATTTATACAACCCAACATAAATTGGGTTATACTAACCCAATTTATACAACCCAACAGACATAAGACAAAACATCAAACATCAAATGGAAACAATAATTTCCCATTTCTTTGGGGCAAATCATTGCTCAAGAGATCTATTGAGCTGGTGGGGTGAGCAGGGCACGGATACGGATTGTGTGTGTGTCAGGAGCAACTTGAGAAAGCTTCAAGTCGCTTCTGGTGTGAGAGAATTGGCTGTCTGCAAGGACGTTGCCCAGGGGATGCCTGGATGATTTGATGTTTCTATCATCCTTGTGGGAGGCTTCCTCATGTCCCCGCATGAGGAGCTGGAGCTGATAGAGGGAGCTCATCCGCCTCTCCCCGGATTCGAACCTGTGACTTGTCGGCACAGGGGTTTAACCCAATGCGCCACCTGGGGCTCCTATGGATACGGATGGCAATTATTAATCAGAGGTATAATAGTAGTACTACCAACTACTGCTCCTCCTCATAAGGCAGTGAGCAAAGGTACATCTTCAGCTGTTTATTGAAAGCAAGGAAGGAAGGGGCCATCTTTAACTCCTTAAGAAGGGAGTTCCAGAGGTGGGGGGCAGCCACGGAGAAGGCCCTTTCTCTCATTCCCACCAGCCGTGCTTGGGACGGGGATGGAACTGAAAAGAGGACCTCCTCCAATGACTGCAGTGTCCGAGTTGGTCTGTAGAGGGAGATGCGGTTTGTCAAATAGTGTAGTTTGTCAAATTGTCAAATAGCATTCTTCACTGCACCTAAGCAGAAGGCTAGTTTATGGTGGTCCAGAATAAGTTATGTGGCACTTCTGTCCTCACATAGAGGGGAACAGCCAGGATTTTCAGAAGGAAAAGCCGAAAGGCTGCTGATATCCCCCACCCACATCTGGTATTTCAATAATATGACAATGGGCAGCCCATTCTGCACTTCCTTTGAAGACAGAGATTGGCGGACAGATTACTAACTGGAGTAACACCATACAGTCAGCAGACAACTCCTATGTTATGGCAGCTCTGCAGGCTGCTGATCTGCTTCCAGGCTAAATACAAAGTGCTGGTCATTACCTATAAAGCCCTAAACACTTTGGACCCAGGCTATTTGAAAGACCACATCTCCGTATACCAATGGTTCTCAACCTGTGGGTCCCCAGATGTTTTGGCCTTCAACTCCCAGAAATCCTAACAGCTGGTAAACTGACGGATTTTTGGGAGTTGTAGGCCAAAACACCTGGGGACCCACAGGTTGAGAGCCACTGCCCTATACAAACCAACATAAACTCTATAGTCGGCTGAGGAAGCCCTCATCTTGGTCCCACCCCTGTCTCAAGTGAGGCTAGGGAAATGAGAGAAAGGGCCTTCTCTGTGACAGCTCCTCACCTCTGGAACTCTCTCCCTCAAGAATTAAAAATGGCCTCCTTCCTCCTCTCTTTTAAAAAGCTATTTAAAACACCTATATGCAATATAGCTTATGGAGAGGAGGAGGAATAAGTACATCTATATGCACTCTTGCCTAGATGCCAATATCCGCCCTCTTAATCTGCTGTTTACCATTCCCCCTCCAACAATTTTAGCCTAATTTTAAAGATTTTAATGAGATTTTAAGGATTTGATATGTTTATAATTATGTGTATTGTGTTACATCTGGTTTACTTAAGTTGTTTTATAATTTGAGTTGTTTTTTATTTGTTTATATACCGTATTATTATTGGCATTTAATGTTTGCCACTGTGTATTTTGTTGCAAGCCACCCTGAGTCACTTTGGGGAGATAGGGTAGGCTATAAATAAAGTTTCATTCACTCATTCCCACCAGTCCTCAAATATTAGATCTCCCAGCTAGGGATGATATGGTCCAGCAGCATTTGGAGGGCCATGAGTTGGTTGGTATTGGCCTAATGGTAGGACTGGCTCTGACACTAAAACAGGATGAAACATGAGTTCATCACTGAGCTCCCAGATAGGATTACACAGGGCAAAAATCCATGAATTTATTTATTTGTTGGTTTATTTACCATATTTGTAAACCACCCTTCTCGGCCCGAAGGCAACTCAGGGCAGTTCACAGTTGGCAAAAATTTGATGACTCAACAATTATAAATAAGTCAAACAATAATAAAATACTATTAAAACATTTAGCATAGAATATAAAATATAAAGAACCGTGCAAAGCCATAAAAATGTTGTTAGCGTCTCCTTGTCAAAATCATTATTCAATTGCATGGCCAGGTTGTTCCATGATTTCGTATAATTATGCTGGATCAGCAAAGGCCTGCTCAAAAAGCCAGGTTTTAACCTTTCTTCAAAAAAGTCAGAAGGGAGGGGAGCGATCTTATATCCCTAGGCAGGGTGCTCCACAGTTGAAGGGCCACCACTGAGAAGGCACTGTCTCTCATCCCCCGCCAAACGCATCTGTGAGGAAGGTGGGACTGAGAGCAGAGCCTCCCCAGAAGATCTTAACATCCTAGATGGTTCATAAGGAGAAATATGTTCGGATAGGTAAGCTGGGCCCAAACCATTTAGGGCTTTATAGGCTAAAGCCAGCACTTTGATTTGTGCCCGGAAGCAAACCGGCGGCTAGTGGAGCTGGCGCAACAGAGAAGTTGTGTGCTCCCTGAGCACTGCTCCTGTTAGCAACCTGGACTATTTGAAGCTTCCGAACAGTCTTCAAAGGCAACCCCACATAGAACACATTGCAGTAATCTATACGGGATGTAACCAGAGCATAGACTACCATGGCCAAGTCAGACTTCCCAAGGTATGGGCTCAGCTGGCGCATGAGTTTTAACTGTGCAAATGCTCCCCTGGTCATCGCCAAGACCTGGGGTTCCAGGCTCTGCGATGAATCCAGGATCACACCCAAGCTGTGAACCTGCGCCTTCAGGGGGAGTGTAACTCTATCTAGCACATGGCAATAAGGTACTACTTGTCCTTCCAATGCTGCATCACTTACTGGAAGTCTTGCCTGCTGCCCTGGGATCCGACAGGCTGCAGAGGGGAAGACACAAAAAGGGTGCAAGTGAATAGGGAGGGAAAGGTACCGCATCTCAGAGTGGGGAGGGGAAGATAAGAGTTCAGGTGAGAAAGGAAGGCAGAAGGGATGCATGAGAGTGGACCACCTACCTGGGGTCAGATTTTTTGCACTTGAATTTTTTACCTGCATAAAGAAATAAAGGAAGCAAATATCAGTGGAAGAAAAGACACAGGGATACGTTTGATGTGCAAAATCTACAATCTCTGTGTGTATGTATGCATTTCTGTAGGGATCAGACCGAAGAGGGTTATTGAGAGAGAATGGTTCTGTGAACATATGCTCCTCTGCATACACTATGTAAACGATCCTTGCAGTGCAACCCAGCTCAAAAGAGAGATCCATGGGGATCAATGGGAGTTGCTTCATTAATTCTATACATCCTCAGCTGCTAATTCAACATATATTGAAAATTCCATACACTCTATCAGATTTGCAAATATGCATCCTTTGATGTACTAGGGAGTGTACAAGGAAGCTAAAACCACATAATAAACAGACTGTGCCAAAGGACTGAATTTTTCTATGTGGCACATTTTTGTTATATAATCTATTTTTTAAATAAAAAACTAAATCCAGTTGCTAGTCCTAAACTGAATCAAGAGCTATAGCGTCAATATCAATATAAATCCTATTGATTGTATAGTTCTATTCTTGTGATGAATATATGATATGTGGTTTGAATGAAATGGTATGAAAGGTCTGTGGTTGAGGCCTGGAGATGCCATCCTAAGATTGAAGCCTAAAAACTACAAAAGGATAATTTATGAACTGGAATTAAAAACTGCAGAACTGCTAGCATTGATGACCAAAGACAAGCGATTAACTCTTGGTGGAAAACAACATATTTACATTACCAGAGACAATGACTCTTTTAAGCTAAGTCCAGTCAACATAGAAGTTCCTTACGTTAAGAAGGAAAACTAATTATCACTTAAGGAAGAAAAGCCAATACCTGTCCAGGAACTGATGGAATCAGAATGTTTTAGTTGGGGAAAACACCTGTCATTCATTTACAACAATTTGGAACAGCGTCAGCAAGAAATACGCTACAAAAGAGACACTTTACTATTCCAAAATTGTGGCAGACAGGAAGAGTCCCACCAACCACTGTTCTCTGAGGGACAGAGAGTGATGGTGTATTTGCAGAATGGCAGATTTCCTGGAATGCAATCTGGCCTACTTTGGGTCTCTTTTTCAGGAGAAGGAAGAGGAGACGGTAATGTATACATTATGATGAATGAATGTGTATATATGTGTGAATGCTGAGTAAAATGTAATTCCCCTTGTTTGTGTTGGAAGTCAATGTCACACTGCTCAAGTCTGCAGTCCTCAATAAGGAGCAATTAGTTAGTTTTAGGCTAGGTTGAAGGAATCCCGCCCCCCCCTCTGGCTCCTGTCTCTATCTATCTTACTCCTTCCATTTTCTAACTGAAATCTTATGTTCTTTTTCTGCTTTTTCCATATTTGCATGCAGTCTTCTCTCAACTCTACTCCAGTTGTTCCCAACCTTTTTTTGACCAGGGACCACTTTGACCAGGGACTACTCTTCACATTAGTACAATAAGAGTTACAAATTACAGAAAACCATAGTTAATAATCTAGAGCTGATGTGGTAGTAGTAACCTTTTGTGGGTAGTCAGCCTTTCCTCTCTTGACATTCCCATTGACTCAGAAGTATAAGAGGGTTTCACAAGACCAGTCACTCTCGTTGCCACTTGGTTTCAAGGCAACAGTGTAGGAGTGGTGAAGCCGTGGACCATATTTTTGTTCTTGTGGACCACTGGTGGTCCACGGACCACAGGTTGGGTACCACTGCTCTACCCAGTGTGTCTGAAGAAATGTAGTGGGGTTTTTTTTTTTGTGATATTGTATTTTTTGTTAGTGCAATTTATATAGCACTTCCTTCCCTCCCTCCTTTTCTCACTAACTATTTTTACTATACTGTAAATAACTCAATTATTTTGAATAAAAATATCATATAAAATATCAAATCCAGCCTGTTACCTAAGAAATTTGTATCACAATTAGAAAAATATAATTTAAGAGATACTTGGCGGCACCACAAAGGAAATCTAAGAGACTATACCTTCTATTCAGGGAGGCATAAGTCATGGTCTAGAATAGACATGGTCTGGGCCACAAAGTCAATACTATTAAGAATAAGTAAAATAAAAATCATAAATAGGATATTCTCAGACCATTGTGCTACAGAACTAATAATAAAAGAAAGCAAGTTTAGATATAGATGGTGCCTAAAAGATAACCTGTTAAGAAGAGAATCAGATATTGAAAAAAATAGAAAATTATTGCAAGAATACCTAGACCTTAATAAAGGAGAAGAAACATCAAAAGAGACCCAGTGGGACGCCATGAAGGCAGTGATGAGGGGCTATTTTATACAGCAGGAGGCCATTAAGAGGAAAAATAAGGATAGGGAAACAAAACAAATAATAGAAGCACTAGAGGAAGAGGAAAAATTATTAAAAAGAAACCCAAAAGACAGGACAGGCAAAAAGCRGATAAAAACCCTAAAAAAACAATTAGAGTTGCTGCAGACGGAGGAAATCGAAAAACAACTGAAATACRCAAAAGYGAGTTTCTTTCAAAACDCCAACAAAGCTGGAAAATGGCTAGCAAATAAGTTAAAGAAAAAAAAAACAAAGACAGATMATCTCTAAAATTAGAGTAGGGGAGACAATATATACAGAAGGGAATAGTATCATAGGACAATTTGCCAAGTTCTACAATGACTTATACCAAAAGACAGAGGTATCGGAAGAACAAATCTTTAAGTATCTAGGCAATCTAAAATTAGCAAAACTTACAGAAGAACAAAGAGCACTATTAAATAATGCAGTAACAATGTCAGAAATAGACTTAGCAATCTCTAAACTGAAAAAGAACAAGGCCCCTGGACCAGAYGGGTTCACTGCAACCTTCTATAAAACCTTTAAGAGTGAAGYAAGTCCATTACTACATAAARTCATAAATAATRTATTAGAGTATAAAACATTTCCRAAGTCATGGCAAAAAGCAAACATAACACTTATACAAAAGGAAGGCACGGACCCAGAAGAAATAAAAAATTACCRGCCGATCTCGTTATTAAATAACGATTACAAAATATTTTCAATGATAATGGCGGAAAGATTGAAAAACTTTCTGAAGGACTGGGCAGCAGTGGAACAAGCAGGTTTCCTGCCACAAAGGCAAATTAAAGACAATACGAGAATTTTGATAAACACCATAGAATATTACGAAAAACATAACGAAAAACAGGTAGCTTTACTCTTCATTGATGCAGAAAAAGCCTTTGATAAGGTCAATTGGAAATATCTTAAATTATTATTACAAGAAATAGATATAGGCTATAAATTTAAAAATGCGGTAGATGCAATATACAACACACAAAATGCAAAATTATTAATTAACGGTCAAGAGACAGACTCCCAAATAAACATAACGCAAGGGACAAGGCAGGGCTGCCCACTATCACCACTCCTCTTCATCTTAGTGATAGACACATTAGAGATATAAATAAGGACCAGAACTTAAAAGGAATGCAGGTAATAAAGCAACATTACAAAATAAGAGCATATGCAGACGATGTGGTATGCATAGTCGAGGATCCCATAAATAATATTAATAATTGGTTACAAAAAATAGAAAATTACGGAAAACTGGCAGGTTTTAAGTTAAATAAACAAAAAACTAAATTGTTAGTAAAAAATATAGACAAGAAATCTAAAGAAACACTCCAAGAAATCTCTGGGATAAAAATTGAAAACAAAATCAAATATTTAGGAATCCATATATCACAAAGCAATATCAATCTAATAAAACATAACTATATCCCATTATGGAAAAAAATACAGTCTGACTTAGATAAGTGGAAATACCAAAATTTCTCCCTTTTAGGAAGAATCGCTATAATAAAAATGTCAATACTACCCCGTCTATTATTCCTCTTTCAAACACTTCCAATATTAAGAAACGATCACCTGTTTAAAAAATGGAACAGGGAAATTTCAAAATTCATATGGAAAAACAAAAAACCAAGAATTAGCTTCAAAGTTCTAACGGACGAAAGAAAAAGAGGAGGATTAGGGCTCCCTAACCTAAAACTATACTACGAGGCCTGTAACCTCGTAGCAATTAAAGAGTGGGCAACACTGAAAAATGATAACCTCTTAACTTTAGAGGGACATGACCTAAGGACAGGATGGCACGGTTATCTTTGGTATAACAAAAGAAAAATAGAAAAAAACTTTAATAACCACTTTATAAGGGCTGCACTCATTAAGACATGGGAGAAATACAAAAGCAGATGGTACAACAAAACCCCAAAATGGATATCACCGATTGAGGCAAGACACAAAAGGGAACTGGGGGAAAAAAATTGGTTAACCTACCACCAATTACTGAAGGATACAAAGGAACAAAAACCAATTCTAAAATCTTTAGAAGAACTCCAAACAATAAACGAAAAAATAACGTGGTTCCAATATTTGCAAATAAAACAAGGACTCAAAGAAGATGAAAAGACAGGTTTCAGTCAAGGAAAAGAAATTTGGGATCTAATATTAGAAAAAGAGAAAAAGCTAATAAAAATATTATACCAACAACTATTAAAATGGTCAACAGAGGACGAACAAGTAAAAAATTGTCAAGTGCTATGGGCTAAAGACTTAGGCCACAATATATTAATGAGTCAATGGGAAGACATATGGAACAATAAATTAAAATTTAGCCTAGCAAGTGATATAAAGGAAAATTGGTATAAGATGTATTACCGATGGTATTACACCCCCGAGAAACTAGCAAAATTTAATAAGGGAATCTCAAATACTTGCTGGAAATGTGGTAAAGAAAAGGGAACTTTTATTCATGTATGGTGGGAATGCAAAAAAATTAAAAAAAATTGGGACGAAATCCATACTATTGCAAAAAAAATACTAAAGAAAAAATTCCCTAAAACCCCAGATACCTACTTATTGGGCATAACAAATTTTGATCTAAATAAAAACCAGGAGAAAATACTCTTCCTTATAAGCTCGGCCGCAAGAATACTGCTGGCAAAATCCTGGAAATCAGAAGAGATCCCAGAAACAGAAGACTGGATTATCAAAATTTTAGAGATAGTACAAATGGACTCATTATCCCAAAGGCTAGACAACACCAGAAGAAAGACGAATTGGTCAGGACTCAACGATTACTGCAAAGAAAAGAAAATCCCACTGATGCTAGATCTATCCGACGTATAAACAGAGACAATATAAGAAGAGACATCAGAGAAACAGGAAAATCTGAAGAAACAAGTAAATCAGTGACTAGAGGGTGCTTGGGAAGTTGTTTTTAACCACTTTTTGTCTATTCTTTTCCCCTTCACCTCTTTCCCTCCCCCCTTCCCGTATCCCTTCCCTCCCCTTTCATCCCTTTACCCTTCATCTATAAAACCCATACCCCTCACCCCCCCCTTACCTCTCCGACCCTTTTTCTGCCCCCCCTTCCTTCAGTTCTTTCTTTTTATATGCAATGTAAAATATTTGAAAAACATTAAATAAATAAAAAAAATATCATATAAAATGTACTAGTTGGACATTTTTCCTTTGAACCTTACAAGCAAAGGAGTTAGAGAGAAGCTTAGACCCAATTCTTTTCTATCAAGAAATGTAGTTCTTATATATATATTAAAATAAATATTTTTGAAACTTTAAAGAATGAATCTTTGCCTCCTAAGCTCAATAATTCTTTTGCAGTTAAAACACCTCACCTTCTGCTTCCTGTGAACTGATTGCTCAGTTAAGTATCCTGTTTGTGTTTTTGGATGCTCTGCTATTTTGGGAGAATCCCTTAACAGTTTGTGTACTCTATGTAGCTAGAGTCTGTGTGTTTACTTTCTTTCTTTGTATTGCTCTGTGGTATATTCTGCCTCACTGAGAACGAAATAAAAGAACTTTTTCAAAGCTTTTTACAATGTATTTATAACATTCTAGTTTGGCTTAGCAACCAAATGAATCTTTTTGTATTTATCCACTAGATATAAATGTTGCCCTTTCTCTAATGAAACTGTGGTGGTGTGCATATGATTCTCTTCCTCAATTTCATTGTATCCAGACATAACACTCTGAGGCAAGTTAAGCAAGAGAAAATAGTGACAAGAAAATTGGCCAGAGGTGGGGTCTTTGCTGTACTTGTCGCTAAATCAAGATTTGTTCCCTGGTACCTCAAGTTAAAGGAATCATATTATAGGGAATGAGAGCTGTTGTCATTCAAAGTAGACACTACTCTGCTGCCCTGGAGACTAGGGCGTGGAACAATGGTTTCAAACTGCAAGAAAGGAGATTCCATCTGAATATTAGGAAGAACTTTCTGACTGTGAGAGCTGTTCAGCAGTGGAACTCTCTGCCCCGGAGTGTGATGGAGGCTCCTTCTTTGGAGGCTTTTAAACAGAGGCTGGATGGCCAACTGTCGAGGGTGCTTTGAATGCAATTTTCCTGCTTCTTGGCAGAGGGTTGGACTGGATGGGAAGCAAAAGTTGCAATTAACATAAATGTCTTTTGTGTTAATTGCAACTTTTGTTATCCGTTGTACTGGATGGCCCATGAGGTCTCTTCCAGCTCTAAGATTCTATGATTCTACAGGACTAGTCAAGCAGTGTAGATAAATGTGGATTTGAATTCTGACCAAAACATCTCATGTATACAGTTTGTATCAAACATTGGGATTGCAACAACTACAGAGGGTTCCTAGATTTTGATCTTTGGAAATACTTCATTGGCAACTATCCTGGCTTCTGGAATTTTTCAAAATGTCACCTGTACATTTTCTACTGAGCAGTATTAAAGGCTAGAAACACTCATTCCCTGGATCCAAGGAAGCAGCAGCAATGGGATTTAAATGCTGATAGCAAAGTCATTAAAAGAACAAGCATGAAGAAAAAGGAACTCACTCAGTGCTATCAAGATTCCCAGCACAAACATGATGATGGCCAGGATCATCCCCACTGTGCGCAATGTGTCATAGTCTAGAAGGAAAATGCAGGTCAAAATATGATGTTTACATTTCACACTCTTGCCTATCAGGTCCCTCGATCAGCCTCAATCCAGTGAGGAGGTCCAACTCAGAAAGGTCATAAATAGTCCTGTTTTGGATATGGGCACCCTCTTCTCCTAGGATGACTTTCCCCCCAGCTATCTATGGTCATGGAATTTAGAAACAGTTGTGGAATTTTTCAGTATCATAGTCAATGTCCAGGAGATGTCAAGTTCCACCAGCCTCTGAGAGACTTCAGTTGACTTTGCTGAAGCTTCATATTTTTTCCAGCTTGGCTGGGAGCTATCCCTGGTCCTGTTTCCCTGAATGGGTCAAGAATAAGCCATCTGTGAGTTAGTTCTTCCCACTCTGTACGCTCTGCAGTATCTTGACCAGGTCACTAACTGTGACTAGACTGGTGCTAATCTGATATACTTGACTGAGCCTGACTTTCTATGACCTGAATGTGATGGAACTGATCTAGTTGACCTAACCTGATTTACTTCAAGTGGATCTGTCAGACATTGCATACTTCCTCCTTTATAGGCGCCAAGTCTCCATGACCAGGATAGCCAGCACCCAAGCTAAGGTATTTTGGATGGCACATATAAGCAATGCCATATGTCTTCATTTCCTCTAGTGTTGCTAAACTGCTGACATCTCTGTTTCCAGCCCTGTTGCCCCATATATTCTCTTAGTGTGGCTAGAAAGACCCTCCTGGTGTAGAACAGAAGACTCTCAATAGAAATATATACACTCACCATAGGTGAAGGGGTCCATATGACTGTTGGTATCTAAGGAGAAAACAGAGTTGGAGGATAATGAGCATCCCAGTATTATGTCTCATTGGCTAGTCAAATGTTGTGTTATTTAAGGTCTCTACCAACAGAATTTACAACAAAACCGAGTCAAAATTCTATAGCACTGCTATGGTGTCATTGCATTGTTTAATCACCAGGTGACTAGACTTTTTTATTCTATTTCCATCCTGCTCTTCTCACGCTTGCAGGTGAGACTTAGTTACACTTCATGGGAGTTGGGAGATCCTACATTTATTGTGCCTAAGAGAGACAATAAAAAAAAATCTTGTGCGCTCTAAAACCTCCAAGATAATCCTCAGTCAACCAGAAAGCACAATCCTGTTAATGTTAATCTGGCAATGTTTTCAAATCAAGATGCGAGTGCTGCCATAGTAAAGAGATTGGCATGTTTTAGTGAATCCCGTAGTAACAGTTTGCCAGGTTGATCATATAATATACAAGCAGCGGCTGCAACAAAATGTCGCCATGTGGGGTTCTGCTGTTCAACATTCCAGCCATTGTATAGCTTTCCCTCTCCAAAGGCCTATCCAGACTAGACAGTTGAGGCATTAGTTAACTGTCAATATTACATTTTTTTGAAATCTTGGGTATTGTAGTTTGCAAGGCAATATTGCTCTCTGACTGAGAATTGCAACTGCAAATCCCAGGTAAGCATAGGATGCAGCCAGGATAGTTTAAGTTGAATCACAGTGTTGATTTTATTCCCAAATATATTATACAAACCATGGGATTCCTCCATGCCTGCTGATATATAAATGGTGTTGTTTTGGCTCCATAAGAACTGGTACTCAGAGAATTGTGATAACTATTACCGTACCATTTGAACTGAATGTAAACTCTGGACAGAGGTACCATTATGTGTGGACATGGTGATGCGGAACTGCAACAGATGGGCATGTTTGGGTACATACATTGATTATTATTATTATTATTATTATTATTATTTTATACCCCGCCTCCATCTCCCCGAACGAGCCCAGGGCGGCTTACAAAGGGACATGCCCAACAAAATAGGTTAAAATAAGCATCGAAAAACAAGCAATATCAAACATCAATAAACATAAAATCAAACAACATTATAACAACAATTGAAAGCTATCATGACTGAGCAAATAAAGTGCTGGGTTCAGTTCATAATTACGAAGTGCAATTAATCCTAAGAAGTGTCAGGAGAAGTGCAACAATCAGAGGGCTGGGCTAGGAGGCAAATGTCCTTAGGCTATTAAAGTGTTAGAAGTGCTAGAAAGGGACCGTGTTAAAGTGCAGGAGATAGATAGGTGTGGAAATTCTATGGTGAACTGCCTACTACCAGAAATTATGCAGTCGAGTTTCCCGCATTTGGGGAAATTGTAGGGATCAGCACACCCGGAGTGCAATGCATGAGCCTCACCCTGGGAAAACCACCTTCGTGATCATGGTGTCTCCCCTGCTGGGTAAGTATCAATTTGTGGACTCTTCACCCCTGACATGTGGCAAGGCTGCCATGTCCCCTATACTATACCAGATTTATTTCTCAGCACTACAACTATGAATATACACACATACATACATACATACATACATATATGAATGAGAAGGTAAGTGGCACAACTTATATATGAATAAGGAGGTGTGTGCCAAAGGTCTCATTTCTGATCATGAGATGATTTTGTACTTCAAAGTTGTATTTTGTTTATTGATTACAGATTTCCTGTGATGGTTTTAGTGATTTATTGTTTAATTTGTTGTTAATTATGTTGAGAGCCACATCTGTCACCTTTTAATGGCAATCCAGGATAGAAATGAAATTAGATAAATAATGGTTTTTCATCTGTATAATTTGAAATAACTGGCATGTGGACATGGTTCATTGTTTGTGATTTGAGTCAACTCCTTCATTGTGCGAAAACAGGGAAGTGAAAATTGCTTTAAATACTGGACTTGAACAACACTACACCATATCTTTCACTCATATATCTATGACAACTGAGGAATTTCAAGAATCTGATCGTAGTCTTGTATATCTCCTGAAAAAATGTCACCAACAAGTAGAGAGAAATCAATATTACAAGAAAACACCCATATTTCTAAAGGTGTACATCAAATGTCTCACAACAGTGTGAATATATCATGAGAGTCTATGTGTGAAGATAAGGTACACTTCACCAAAGCTTGGAGGTCCAGTGGGGCCTGTCTCTTTCAGTAATCATATTATCATGGGGAGAGAAAAATGAAGCTAAATCGTAGGTTATGCCTAGGGATATTTATCACAACCTATTTCCTATATCTAGCATCTCTGTCTAAAATGGAGTCTGAGCTCACAGTTGCCCCAGATCTAATCATGTAGTCTGCAGCCCCTCCCACAACCTCAAGCAACATAGAGTAAAGGGAAAGGTGCATGCCAAAACATACATATACAATACAGTAAGCAAGCAGAATTATATACAAAGCAAATTACTAGTACTCTGTTTCCATGTACTTTGAAAACGGAGCTCCATGGGAGCCCATCACATGACGCAAAAGCACTTCTGGTGGAACTCCATGTGACCCCGTTTCTTGAGTGCATGGAAACAGAGCCCTAAAGCTGGGAGAGAGTGGCAGAAAATGGGGGAAAGATGAGTGCAACAATCTTCTGAATGGGAGCACAGAAAGGACATGGGATGGCTGACCTTTCCAGAAGACAGGAAAATATTGGAGGCAACAGGGTAAGATGGTCCCCCCTGCTAATGGGATGAAGTCCTATGTGGCATCTGTGATGTTTCTGGTTAAGACCATGGCTATTATAAGTATGTTCTTCACCCTCCATTTTATTTATGTTTACTACACTGATAGACTATTAGGCCATGAATATTTGAAAAACCGCATCTCTGCGTACAAACCAGTATGAGCACTGCGATCCACGGAGGAGGCCCTCCTCTCAGTCCCACCTTCATCTCAAGCACGGCTGGTGGGAACAAGAGAAGGGGCCTTTTCCATGGCCGCTCCCCACCTCTGGAACTTCCTCCCTAAAGAACTAAAAATGGCCCCTGTCTCCTCTCCTTTAAAAAGCTTTTAAAGACCCATCTGTGTAAGTTAGCCTATGGAGAGGAGGAAGATTATCATTGTTCATACATATTCCCACCTGACATTGAATACTTCCTTAGCCTGCCGGTCAAATACATTATATTGTGCTTTTAATGTATAATGTTTTAATTGGTTTGATTCCCTGTTTAGTCTAACCCTTGACTTCAGTTTGTTGATAAGTTATATTGAATTATGGGATTTCATGCTTTGCTTGCTGATCATTTGTTTATTGACATTGAACGTTTGTCATTTTTGTTTATTTCTGTAAACCGCCCTGAGTCCCTGGGGGCGAGAGGAGAGGTTATAAATGAAGTTTTAATATTATTACGCCAGTTGTATTTGTAAGTGCTATAGATGGCTATAGCTCTCTTATTCCCCCCCCCCCCCCCCCCCCGGGTGCTTACATCACACACTATGCCTAAACCCAATTTGCAGTACACAGCCATAACACTTTGATAGCAATTTAACTGAAATGGTTGACAGGTTGCAGGTTCGAATCCAGGGAGAGGCGGATGAGCTCCCTCTATCAGCTCCAGCTCCTCATGCGGGGACATGAGAGAAGCCTCCCACAAGGATGATAAAACATCAAAACATCCGGGCGTTCCCTGGCCAACGTGCTTACAGACGGCCAACTCTCACACCAGAAGCAACTTGCAGTTTCTCAAGTCACTCCTGACATGACAAAAAAAACTGAAATGGTTCCTGAGAGGTGTAATTTGGTGAACACTTCTATCTGTTTCTCGGAACTACAACACTAGAACTCTCTAATAGAGAATTCTAAGCATCTCACCAAACTACAAACCCAAAACTCTGTATGGAACCATGCTGTTAGTTAAAATGCTATCAAATTACTAAAACAATAAAGTGCAGGCATGTTGTAAAAGACTATAGGGTCAGCTCCACCATCTGCCCTGTACATGAGGAGATTCTGTTTTACTCCATATCTATAATCAGAAACTACAACTATTATACACAACATCCTTCATTTTGACACCTTTATCTGCCAATGAAAATGAGTTTTACTACGGAACTTCCTTTTTCTGCTTTGGCATTTCTGTCCCCATTTCGTAAAGCCCAATGTATGCCACAACTTGCCTGCAGACCATCCATGTAGGATTATCCACATTCTCTAGAACAGTGGTTCTCAACCTGTGGGACGCAGCCCAGCAGTGGGCCGCAAGAAAGAAAATCGGGTCTGCAAACCTCTTTCCTCTTATTTATTTCATTTTGTTTTATTTCTGCTCCTTTCCACAGAGATAAACAGCCCTGTCCCTTTTGGTACTAATGTTGGAGAGTTGTCCCTGGTCAAAGTGGGCCCTGGTCAAAGTGGGCCCTGGTCAAAGTAGTCCTGGTCAAAGTGGTCGGGCCCTGGTCAAAGTGGGCCCTGGTCAAAGTGGGCCCTGGTCAAAGTGAGCCCTGGTCAAAGTGGGCCCTGGTCAAAGTGGGCCCTGGTCAAAGTGGGCCCTAGTCAAGTGGGCCTTGGTAAAAAGTGGGCCCTGGTCAAAGTTGTCCCTGGTCAAGTTGTCCCTGGTCAAGTGGGCCCTGGTCAATTGGGCCCTAGTTAAGTGGGCCTTGGTTCAAAGTGGGCCATGGCCAAAGTGGTCCCTGGTCAAGTGGACCCTGGCCAAAAAAAGATTGGGGACCACTGTTCTAGACAGATGTGTCCATGGTTAAAGTGGGCCTTGGGTCAAAGTGGGCCCTGGTTAAAGTGGACCCTGGTCAGCCTGGTCAAAGTGGGCCCTGGTCAAAGTGGGCCTGGTCAAAGTGGGCCCTGGTCAAAGTGGGTCCTGGTCAAAGTGGCCCTGGTCAAAGTGGGCCCTGGTCAAAGTGGGCCCTGGTCAAAGTGGGCCCTGGTCAAAGTGGGCCCTGGTCAAAGTGGGCCCTGGTCAAAGTGGGGCCTGGTCAAAGTGGGCCCTGGTCAAAGTGGGTCC